CATTACCTTAACCAAACCTGTCTAACCCACAATTGCCTCTCCAAGTGCACGCTGGTTTGTCATTTATGAAACACCCCCACTTTTATAAAGGCATATATCCTCAAAACCAATGACAACATCCTAAGCCCTCCTATCAGCTTCACGTTCAGTTTTTAACTCACTTTGTAATATACTGTTTGGAATTTGTGGCCGGTTTACAGCACTGTCTGTCTCAGGATCGTAGATGCAGCATAAGCCAAGCACAAAACACCAAATCTTCAAACAACAGAAGAACCAGACGTAAGTTTTGAATATGGCCTCCAGCTGCTTTCGTTTCTTTCCTCATGGTTTCTGACTACATATATATATATATATATATATGTTTTGTATTACCAACAAATACCTACTTCACATGGTGCTCCAATTTAGGGGTTGGAGCTTTATTATTAGTCTTTGCTTGAAAGTTGAAACCCTAAATTTGTGGAGCAGGGGTGGAAATGTAGCCGTTAGGACTTACGATAGCAGTGTTGTTTCTCAAAGACTCGTACAGAACATGGTCTCGCTCAACGTCGAAGTCATTGTCTATCTCGTTAGTATGCTAGATGAGTGTTTCAGAAGAATATTTGAGTAAAAGATGACTCAAAAGTGAGTTTAACTAGTCGATTGGCGATGTTGTTACGTTTCGAGTGTGCAATGACATAAAAACGAAGCCTTCCCAAAAGCAAAGACCTAAACTTTTAAATTCTCAAGCCAAAACTTCAAGAGTGATTACAAGGAGGAAGTGGAGCTCCACACAAGCCAGGGTTATCTATGAAACCGGAAACAGGGATAATGGCTTTGTGAGGAGGAATTTTCCCACTCAAATGGTTCCTAGAAACATCAAATTCTTTAAGGTCTTTCAAATTCAGCACCTCCTTTGGAATATTTCCACTCAAGTTATTACTTGAAAGAAAAAGTGTAGTGAGTTTTCTGGCATCTCCAAGATCTGATTGAATCCTACCCGAAAGCCGATTACGCGCAAGCTTTAGAACCTGCAAATCACTCAGTTTTCCCAATGACTTTGGTATGCTTCCTCGCAAGGGGTTGTTTGATAAAACTAGACTTTTGATGGATGCCATTGTGGGAATTTCTCCGATGTCCTCGTCAATCGGGCCGGTGAACATGTTGTTGGAAAGATCAATGGAGTTGAATTGTCCAAGAGGGTTTTGTGATTGTTTCGAAAATATCGAGCTCAGGTGGCCGGAGAACTTGTTGGAATGCAGATCAAGATCCATCAGAAGTGCAAGGTTTCTGAATTCTGCTGGGATTGATGAATGGAAACCATTGTTTGATAAGTTCAGAAATGAAAGGCTAGTCATGTTGCCTATCCAATGAGGCAACTTGCCTGTCAAGGCATTGCTTGATAAGTCAAGTATGGAGATAGATGATGAAGATAACCAATTCGGAAGCTGCCCTTCAATGCCGGTTTTTGCCAACAATAGCCGAAAAAGTTTCAATCTTGCAAAAAATCTTGGTACACTAACCAATCCCAGTGGATTGAAAGAAAGATCCAGAGTGTCTAGACTCTGTAATTTTGCAAGCTGAGGAGGAATTTGACCAATGAGTCGATTTCTCGACAAATCTAGTGTTTGTAGGTTATGTAAATTGGAAAAACTTGAAGGAATCTTGCCTGTAAAACGATTGTTGGAGAAGAAAATATCAGTGAGAGTTGCAAGGTGACCAATGGCTGCTGGTAGTTTTCCTGAAAGTTCGTTATTCTCGAAAATGAGCCTTTCGATCTTTGGGAGCTGGCCTAGTGATGCTGGCAAAGCACCTGCGAGATTGTTTTGGGATAACTGACAAAACCGCAGAGAATTAAGCCCGGAAATCGAAGAAGGAATGCTTCCAGTGAGCTGATTATGATTGAGATAGAGCAGGACTAATTGCGAAAGTGCACCAATGGACTGAGGTAGTCTTCCACTTATCCGATTTTCGGATAAATCAAGATATGTCAAGCTCTTAAGCTTGCCAATGGAGATTGGAATGCTTCCGGAGATGTTGTTTGCATGGAGATCAAGCTTAGTGAGCAAAACCAACTTTCCTATTGAAGTTGGAATTTGGCCCGACAACCGATTTCCGGATAGGCCTAATTCCGAAAGAGAGCTCAAAGATCCAAAAACAGAGGAGGGAACAACACCAGATATGTAATTGTTACCTAGATAGAGCTTCTCCAATCGAAAAAGATAGCGAAATGCTGTTGGTATCGAGCCAATGAGCATGTTTGAATCAAGGAAGAGATGAGTGAGGTGAGATAGCTTCCCAATTTCTTGTGGTATTGGACCCTTCAAGTCCTTGAGATTACTGAGGTCAAGAAGTTGAAGAAATGATAAGTTTCCAAGATAAGGGGACAAAGTACCGGACATATACGTGTCGACCAGGAAGTCATTGCCGGAAACAAGCCCCGGGCGTGAGACGTTGACAACTCTGCCGGAGGATTCACACGTGACGCCTTCCCAAGCGGAGCAGCAATCGGAGGAGATTGACCACGAATGCAGCAGTTTTGAAGGGTCAGAAACGATGTTGTGCTTGAAATGCAGAAGTGCTTGTTTGTCTACCAAATGACATGCTTTGGAGAAAAGAAGTGAGAGGAGTTGTGAGAGAAAGAGGACTAGGGTTTTGTTGTAAATTGAGATCTTCATTTCTGAGAAATGTAGAGATGTTGAGGCTCAAAAATCTTCATGTCTCATGAGTCAAAAGCTTGAATTTATTGAACAAAGTAATCTTCAAGCAGCTACAGCACAAGAATTGTTTAATTAGTTTAAGCCTCACAGTTTTAGCTGTGTGCTTATTTGTCTTCTACAATAAGCAATGTTCCCCATGACCAGTGGGGTGTGACTAGGATTGGATTGGTATTGAATTAAGTGGTAGAAAAGTATACATTGAGGATAAAATTTGTAGAGTTGTCTGATCACGTCATTCGTATGATATCTTGTGTAAAAGCTGCCTTAATAAGGTAGTCCTACCAAAATTTTTCTTTACATCAAAGGAGAAGCTTCATTGTGGCAATTGGATAAATGTTCAAGTCCCACCCTGCGACCAAAGCTAAATGATCAAATAATGTCATCGAGACTATGAATTAGTTGTAAGAGAGAATCTCTCCTGCCCTAAATGTCCAAAATCTGCCCTGTGAACCTTTGTCACATAAACTAGATCCATGAAAATCAGACACAAAATAGCATTTTTCAATAATTTATTAATTAACCTAAACCCTTGTCAATTCATATTAAATATTTAAGTTAAGATAGTCTGGCTAATGATAAGTATTGTGGCATGATCATTATGCTTTAAGTGGAGGGGTGGTAGATTTGACAAAGGAAAAGAGAAAAGTGAAGAGTTAATGATGCATATTTTCATCGTATTAACCTAAATAAATGGCATGGTAATTAGTAACTGAAGCATGCAGGACACCAAGACAATGTAAAATTGTAAATTAACCGTTGGATCACTAGCAAAAGCAACAATGTGTGATATTATATTTTTCTTTGCAAAAGTAACAATGTGCGAAAACTCAAATAAGTTTTTATTAAATGAAAATTGAAAATAGTTATTAAATGAGTTTTTAGTTTTCAAAACAAAATTTAAAATTTAAAAAAAATAATAATTATCAAACCGCACTTTCTAAACTAGTTGTTTTCCTTCATTGAAGCGATGAAGTTGGTGCGAATGCACTTTTAAATTGTTTGACTAGTAAATTGCTTGCTCGTAGTTACATTACAACCCCAACCACACGAGAGATTTTTTGTGTCTGAAATACGAGGTGATACATTATATATTATTATACAGATGTAAAGTTTTTTCAAGTATCCCTTTACTTTTATTATCATATATGATATATGTATTTGTTTTTCAAACACAATGAAATATCTCTCCAAGCACGCACTACGACCATCTATACACTACAAACTTATAGCAACTTAGTTGTAATGGCACAAACAACCATAATGTAAATTTTTCTTAACAAGACATTGTATCGTTGAGACAGAACGTCATATCGACATTATACCATTGACCAAGGAAATCCTCCATCTATAACATGTATATGGATATACATAGGAAACCACGTGAGTGTTAACGTCCCGATTGTCAGAGGAAGATAAAAAAAAAATCTAGCAACTGATTACTAACGTCAACATGCACCAACAGACAAGGACTTCCCCACACATTATTATTACCACCATTTTACCAAACATTTCCTCAATTTCCACACTTTCCAGAAACTTAAAAAATAAAAATAGAAATAAAACTAAAAACAAAACCACACCAGAAAAAATGAAAATTAAGAGGAAGATAATCAAAATTAGTAATAATTTAAGTTAATTTAAGAATTATATTGGCGCTCTTTATAGTTTAGGTTCTTGTTTTTTTTTATCTTTCTAAATTTTGGGCTTTATTACTTTAAAATAAAAATTATTGCACTATTATTGACCTTTCCATTTCTCGAACTATCAATTTAGCGACTACTCATTTTATGTAACACGCAATGAGTAAGATTAGTTCCTAAACTTTAATCTTCTGCTCTCTATTATCTATATCTTCTAGATTATAGTTTTCACTAAAAAAAAAATATCTTACTTATTGTCTGCATGACATTTGTTAATTGTTCATCGATATGACTCCACATAAGCAAATGAATGAACCAACTAAAGTGTTGCGTCGAAGTTAATAGACTAAGAATTCATAATTTCGGGTAGTAAAGTGTCAATTTTTAAACGAAGTAGTGACCAAATAGTTACTGAGAATAAATTAGAAGGGTGGAAAATGAAATAATTTCAACAGTTTCATGTCATATATAATTTTACAATATTAATACAGTAATAATACAAAAGACGAATTTCATTTACATTATTGCTAGCGCATTGTGAGGTTAAACTGTCACATCCCGGTTCAGGCCTCCACCACATCCCGAGCTCGACTTCGCCGTAGCATGATATTACTCATCCCCTTCCGGGTCAGGATGTGTCATAAACCCACTCCTCACGTGCTTAGTGTAAAAATATCATTTATTAAAAAAATAAAATTACAATAAATACATGAATAATATTTATTCATGTTATTATTTATCGGCGGAAGCTTCTACACTTATGATACGATTTCTGATCGCCACCTTTACAAACATGGTAAATCCTGGGACACCTGTACAGGCAATTATTGCCCAAAACCACATTCGCCGAACCGGGTTTTAACCCGAGCAGAGGACGCGGGATGGGTCCGGACAAGTAATTCCCACCCAGCAGGAGCCTCTCGAGCTTTGAGACTCCGGATCCGGGCACCGCCACTTTAAGCGCGTACTGGGTCGGAATCCTACCCGTGAACTTATTGTTCTCCAGCGTCAATGCCGAGAGCTTCCGCATCGCCGCCATGAACAGCGGTAGCATTCCGCTGAGCTCGTTGTTGCTGAGGTCTAGTGCAATGAGCGCGCTCTGGGCGCCCGGAGAAGGAGAAACCGGGGGCTTTACGGACATGAATTGGTTGAAGGAGAGAGTGAGCTGCTGTAGCGACAGGTGGTTGAAGAGGTGGCCGGGGACGGCACCGCCGAGTTGGTTGTGACTCAGGTCGAGCACTTGCAGAAAACCCAACTGTTTGATGTTTTCCGGGATGTTTCCTACTAGGCTGTTGTTTCGCATGGAGATTTGGAGCAGAGATGTCGGGAAATTTAGTGGGACACCTCCGGAGATGGCGTTGTTGCTGGCGTCTAAGTAGCTTAGGTTCTGAAGAGAACCCAACTCGGGAAACTCGCCGCTGAGCAGGTTCCCTTGGAGCTCGAGCCGCTGCAACCCCGCCAGGCCGTTCAAGCTCGATGGGGTTGCGCCCTCGAGGCGGTTGTTGTCGAGAAAAAGCTCCACGAGGTTCGAAAGCGATCCAATTGAGTCGGGAATTGCGCCGGAGAACGAGTTACCGGAGAGACCGAGTCGAATGAGCCCTGTTAAGTTGGAGAGCGACTCGGGGATCGACCCGGAGAAGAAGTTATTGGAGAGGTCGAGTGTTTGCAAATACGGGAAGTTCCAGGAGAGGGAGGAGAGCGAGCCGGAGTAGCCGGCCTGGTCGAGGGTGAGCTCGGTGAGCCTGCTGACTGACGACGAGGAGTCAACCTTGTCGCAGCGGAAGCCGCAGGTGAACCGGTCGCTGAAGAGGTTGTCGCATGGGTCGAGGTTGAAGTCCCAGGAGCTGACGCACGAGCCCGGACGCACTGAGCCGGGGTCGAGTGAGTTCTTGAACTCCTTGAGAGCTTCAATGTCGGCCCAGAAAGTCTTGGATTCTGCTCCAAGCTGCAGACTTGCGGATGAAATTACGAACATGATCAGGAAAAATAGGGAGAAATCGGAAATGGAGACACCCATGAAGTGGTTTTTGTGGAAATTTGATCAGTTGGGGGTGGGGAGTGTGAAGTTGCAGAAACAGGGGAGGACGGAGAGGTTGATCGGGACCGTTGGTTTTGAATCAGAAGTCGGAATTTTGATGCGAGGCAGAGGGGAAAAGTGCTTAAAGCGAGGAAAGCACTTTGTTGGCTTTTGGTATTGGGAATCAGACAGAGTTCAGCGATCTTATATAGTGACGTGTGTTGGTTGGGCTGAAGCGGCGGCGGCTACTGCTAGTTGCTTGTGGTGAGCTGTCTTTGGTATCTCTCTTTCTTTATTTCTCATGTACGGGAAGGAATCGTATATGGTAACGTTTAAAGTCAATGATTCAATATTATGTATAAGAATGTTTTGGACGGTAAATATATAAGAAGTTTTTATGAGCCATTTAGTATTATGGTTTAGTAATATTTTTCTTTACTTGTGAGATATTAAGTTTGATTCTTGTTCAAACGAATTTAAATTATATTATTGCTAACATATTGTAAAGCTAAGCTTATTTCATCCATGTAAATAATATCATTCGTTAAAAAAATAAAATTTGCTTTTGTGAGAGCCATTGTTTCATAATGTTGAAGACTGGAAGTAAAAGATAATGCAAAAGTTCATGAGTTCGTTAGCACCACTTATTTTAATCGGGAGTTGAAATTGTGTCATAGTCCAGATCGACTTCGGATGCGAATCACAATGTTTGGATTGACACGTGGCTACAAATGCTTGGCCCTTTTACATCAACAGCCCGTTCTCATCCACAATGTCTACAACTTTGAGAAGGTCTTCGGTACGACACCTGATTTGCATGCGGTGTGAGGTGAAGTGAGGGTGAAAGTGTGTCGGGTGAATATAACAATCCGAGAAGAGTGGGGTAAGGGAAGTTTTGTGTCTCGGTCTGCATAGACACGTGGTCCGATTGCTTGATCCCATAATTTCACTTACAATTGACACTATTACAAAAATGTTTTATTTACAAAAAATGAGAAAAATGAGTCGTTCCTCGTTGCAAAGAATGTGAGAAGTGATGAACTTATCCGCAATGAGCATTTCAGCCGTGTAATGCTTTATCTATCAGAGGAACTCTTGCGGTTGCAAAGAGACATTATTGTATACATGTCAGACTGTAATTTTCTATAAACCTAATCATGCTGTCAATCGAACAGGATCCCTTTCGCCCTAGTTCTCTATAAGCCGTTAAAAATGGCTTCCTTACAAAAGCAGAAGCCAGTTCTAGGTCGCAATCACAAAGAAAAGAAAAAGATAAAACAAAGGTGGGTGGCCATTTAAAAAAAAAAAAAAAACCAGCTCATAGAATCGATTGCCCTATGATTCAGTTGTTACAGACAGCCTCTAAGTTGGTGAATGATATGTCCTAATTGGTGAAAGCACTTTTATTATAAGTCCTTATTAGAAGAGCTAACAAACTTGAAAACACAGCAGACTTTTTCCAAAAGCCAACCGATTTCCAGAATGCAGATTCGCGTTTGGTATTTTCCAACTTCCAACCACCACTCAGGAACATTGTTTAGAAATCAAACTATGAATTAAGAAATACATCAACCAACTGGGTTCATGTTTAAGTAGTCGTATTTCAGTGCAGTTCGTGACAATAAAAAACAGTAAACATCGACTCTTAAACTAAAAGTCTCAAACAGATAACTATAACCCAATGATTATTTAGTTTAGCGGCACTCAATCTCTTTTTTTATGAGAGAGATTATGAGTTTAAGTATATTGGACGACAATTGTCCATAAAGAGAGAGACAATAATAACATGGCCAAAATGGGAAAGATCAAAAGTTAACATAACAAGGAGCTGGTTAGTTACTGTTAACTGATATATCTATATATACATATACTTTTGTACTACAACTTTTCGTCCTTCGGGCTGAAGGATTAACTACTATACATAGAAATTTAGCCAAAATAGTTATTGAAATTAGCATAACTTCTCACTTTGGTCACTAAGATTTGAAATCGATAGAAGTGGTCCCTGAGTTTGTCCACCATCAATCATTTTGGTCATCCTGTGAAAAATCTCCGTTAAATAAAAACCAAAATGATAAAAATACCCTCAATCAAATAAACAAAGGGCCAAAATGATTTGACAAAATTTGAGGGTATTTTTGTCATTTTATTCCTTATTTGTGGAAGTTTTTTCACAAAATGACCAAAATGATTAACGGTGGACAAAACGGTTCTAACAATTTTAGATCTTAGGGACCAAAAGTTATGCCAATTTCAGGAAGCAGTTTATATAAAAAGCCTATACATTCTATAATCAGGCAGGGTGAGGATGCTCCTATTTAATAATAATAAAAAGCCTATACATTCTATACTCGAAAAGAATTGGAACAAGAAAGGCACCTTGTCATATTATTCTCCACTTATGGGCCTCTCTCAGGTGGCCATTCGAACTTGGTGTCCTTATCCTCGCTTTTCTGGCCAATTCTTCCCAGATACTGCCTCACAGATTTGTGATTTGTCTCAAAATTAAAATACATGTCCCTAATCTGCAGATTGTCATTAACAACAAATTAGTCGAGAGTACTAAATAAGTAGGAGGAAGCATGTTTGAGGGAAAGACGAAACAAGAATGGTAGCATGAAAAAATAACAATATAAGAATATAATCGGTTGCATAGTGAAATAGAAACCTATTTACCTCAATCAAATTACTTGAACTAAGAGTAACACGCTGTCCCGAAGCAACTTCTTCACCATTCAAAAATATTGAACTCTTGCCAAGATTCTTCAAAGAGAAAGAACCATCTCCTTCCATCTTTATAAAAGCCTAAAGAATAATTAACAAAAGTCGTATTAAAATCATAGCGAAATTTCTTGGAAGGAATATAACAACATAAAAACAAGCAAAGTAACACTTCCTCCTTGTTCTACCCTGCTGTGAAGTCAGATTTATAGAGACAATGACCAAAGTCGCCCAAAGAACAAAAATTAGGCGAAGGAGCATGAATGGATAAAAGGGGATTGTGGAAATCGCCACCCTTATTTTATTTCCCCCCTCACAATTCATCGTATCATTTGTCAAAAAACTCAGGAAACAGTTTTTCCAACACCTTAATCCCATTCTACAGATTGAGTCAATTATCATATTGCAAGGAAGGGAAACAAAAGGTCCTGGAACGATCATAATAGGATTAGAGGGGCAAAAATGTCCTACCTGCCGCCGAGATATTTTCTTATGCCGCCCTTCCTTTCCCAAGTCAATATCAACTTCGTTATCTTCTGTTGATCTGCCAATTATTACCTACAAAGTAGGAAGAGGATGCAACAGGTTTGCAAAGGAGCGGCATGAATTTGAATTGAAACTTTAAAATCCAAACAAACACACCTCAGTTTTCTTAATGTATTCCTTTATCTGGTTTCCATACAATACTGCAAGTGCACCTTTAGATGCAAGGGTTCTTTGCATAGAGGATCGTGCACACTGTTCCAACCTCATGATTTTTCTTTTAGAATCCTCGTTTTGATACTCTAAGACTGCAAATACCACAGAAAAAGAATATAAAAAAGACAAGCACAAAACAATACAGACCATTATACATGACATTCTATACGTTCGACTGTACCATACAAGGCGGAACTCTTTGCCACATTTGGTTGATGGTTTCTCAATAACCAGAATATAAGGGAAGGCAGCTAATGTAAAGTTTTATCACTTATTACACATCAAATCTTTTAAGTACTATGTTTAAATTATTTATAAAAATAATAAGACGAGTTACCTTCACTACTGATGTATGAATCCTGATCCAGTGGATATAAATCCATCTCAAGTATCTGAAGATAGCATAAAACAGTTAGAGGGGCAGATCCTAGAAATGGACTAAGTAGAAGATTACAAAAAATCTAGCTAATCAAAAGAACTATTAATGCTTGCCATCGCTTCAATATCAGAATAACAAGGAATGTCAGCATCATCATCAGATTTTTCCTCAGATTCTTCACGATCTAGTACTGATGGGTTGGCTTCTGGTTCTGGGAAAGTTGTAGAACCCTCTGCGCATAAGGGTGCAAGTTCTGCAATTGTAAAAGGAGCTTCTAGTCCCTGTTTACAACAATCAGCTTTAGTAATACGTATTTGCAAGAGCAACCAAGAAATTTATGAAGTGACTGCAGTTAAAAAATTAATAACCTCTTCTTTGAGCCCTTGATTGGTGATAGACTTAGATGGTGCCTGTGCTGATCTGCTTTGGCTTTGGTCGGCAATGACATTTTTATCATGTTTGGAGACTGAAGCTACACATTTACTATCACCATATGGAGCTTTAACTCCAAAAGAACCAAGTGCATGGTTAGGGCTGTTTTCTGTACTTGTGTCGTATCCCACCATCTGGGGAACCTTAAAAGGTCGTGCAGGATCTTCTTCTTTCCTTTGTTGATCGCATTTTCTTTTACCAGTTGAGGAAGCCAACTCATGAGCTCCTTTTAAGGTTGGTTCCGATACAGCATGAACAGTTGCAGTAGATGGAAATATATCATCATTGCATGGGATTTCAGGGTCCTCAGTATTCAATGTGCAGATCATCTCTTCATGATTAAGTTCAGGAGTAAGAGGATGTAGCACTGACGTAGATGCTGTCATATTGGCTTCAGAACAAGAGATAACACACTGATCATCTTGGCCAGAGTGAGACAGTTCAGCAGCAACATCCATCTCGGCAGCCTGCATATTGTCTGTAACAACCTGGCATGAATCTGAAATCAACTTTGGGGGAAGATCTTGGCCAGAGTGAGACGGTACATCATTTTCATGAACATCCTTGGTCTTACTCAACGAAATCGGATTCAGGTTTTCAGAAGATGACTTATCTATTGACTCCTTGCCACTTGCATACATGAAGGCAAGCTCATACTCATTCGCAAGGTCTATGTCTGCATAATCATCTCCGGAAACTGTGACAGACCTAATCAGTTCATCATTAAACACTTCCTCAGAATGGATATCATCGTATTGAGATGAACCAATATTATCCACATCCATATCATCAGTAACTACCAATGTCTTTTCGGCATCCTCACCGTTAACCCCCATGCTGACATCCATTGGCATTTCTGGTGCCCGTACATCCTCAATCGTTTTCCAAAGAGGCTCATCTACAGATGCATGAGATGGCCCTATATCTTCCGCATCTAAGGCATTCCCAAAATCAATTGCATCATCTCGATGAGCAGGCAGATCTTGACAGGCATTATCATGGCAAAAAGCATTCTCTCCTAATTCGTTACCTGGCAGCAAAGAAACCTGTTCGACAAATTCATTTGAGCACCCTTCCCCCACAACTCCCTCCACAACATAATTTCCAATCGGAACACACTCCCCACCTCCCTCCACACCATGATTTCCAATCGAAACACGCTCTCCACCTCCCTCCGTACCATGATTTCCAATCACAACAAGCTCTCCACCTCCCTCCGCACCATGATTTCCAATCGAAACACGTTCTCCACCACGAAATGCATTAGCAGCATCGCCGTTATCCACATCACAATCCAAAAACAAGGGCTGATTATGATCTCCAGCCCCAAAATTTTCCTCTAAAGCCTCGCCATTATCAATGTCCGGCCTGAAAAGAAAATTACGATCGAAAAAGTCCTTCTGATAAGAATCGGGATCAACGGAATTAACATCGCCAAATCTCCTCTCTATCTTCTGCATAGCATAGTAATGCTTCCGTATGCTATCGGATTTTCGCTGCAAACCCCTAGAACGACTGAATCTACTAGCCTTGGACGCTGAGTTGGAATTGCAACCTTCCAACTTCGCCAACCGAGCCGACGCCTCCGCCGAGACATCAGCGTCGTAGAGGAGCGAGCACCACCGCTCCCGCAACTCTCCGATTGTGAATTTGCGCGAAAATCGCACCGCGCCTCTAGCAAGTGCTTCCAGAGAAGCACCTGTCTGTAACCGTTAAAAAGCACCAAAGAGATTTTCAAAAATTAATTCTAACAATCACTTCATAAAATTAAAAAAAAATTAAAATTAAAAGAATAAAAAACCAGACGCAAAGCAGAAGAGGATGATAGCTTTAATGGCAGCAACGGCAATAACTGAAAAGTAAAAGGACTGAAAAGGAAATTGCGTAAATTTGGGAGAAAATTGCAAAGGATTACCTCCATGGCATCCTTCAAGCGGAGGTCGTCTTCCGGCATCCATGGAGGAGCCGAAGCCACTGCTTCCATATGGATTCGCTTCCGAAATCGTCCCGAAATTAAAATGCAAGTGATTATTTTCTTCTGAAATTTTCAAAATTCTCGGAGATCTCGGCGAATTCGAAGCCTCTGAGAGTTGTGAATTTTCTGACAGTGGTGGTGGAGTTGCAGGGAGTGACGAGTTACTGAGCCGACCGAGTCAGGCGAGTGGAAAGAGCGCCAGGAGTGAAAAAGTAGCGACTGAGCTGTGTGACTTTACGAACACGCGCGTAACGGTTCATGGACTGGCTGGCTGGCTGAGTTTAAAGTGAGGGATTCGGGTTTTGGGATTCGGCTCGCGGATGCTTGATTTTTGTTAATTTGATTGGTTGGATTTGGTTTTACTTTTGAGTTTCCTGCAAGTTACCAAAATGTCTTGGCCGATCTTTTTCCTTTTGGGTTTCGTAGATTAATCTAATTCGCTGCGGCGACGTCGTCTTCTTGAAATTGTCATGCACCAAAGTCAAGCCCACACCCAATCCCAAGATCAAGCCCAAGAAAATTAAAGCTCTCACTTGACCCTTTTTTTTTTTTTTTTTTTTGATAAGGTAATAATTTATTAATATTATTCTAATCTACAGTAACGGAAATTCGCACCTGGATACCGAAAATGAAAGTATAGTATTTTGATTAGCTGATCTAACTCATATTTCTTATCAAACGATATTCAAAAGACAAACAAAGGAAAGACAAAAAGTAGGAACGCGTTAGAGGATTAGTCCTTACTTTTTAAATAAAGCATTTGAAGTCACATGAGCATCTGGTCTAGCAATGCATTAGTCTTTATTTTGTTGAAGGGGATATTGAATTTAAATTTCATGCATGACAAATTACTGATTAACCCAAAAGGAAGAAACAAAAGCATATGAGGATTGCTCCTAGTGAAACATGTTTTTGGGTGTCAAAATATTTTCATGACAACTTTAAAACTTCGATCATGAATCATGATAAACTGACAACATAACATATTTGTTAGATCATACATCGTCCAGGGGAGAGGATCCTCTATGCCTTATATGTACATGCCCACCTCCAATTAGCACGAGGCCTTTTGGAAGCTCACTGGTTTCGGGTTCCATCGGAACTCTAAAGTTAAGTGAGTTTGGGCGAGATCATTCCTAAGTTGGGTGACTCACTGAGAAGTTCTGCTCGCGTGAGTTTCCAGAAACAAAACCGTGAGGGCGTGGTCGGGGCCCAAAGCGGACAATATCATGCTAGGTGGAGTCGACCCCGGGATGTGGTGGGGGCCCAGGCCAGGATGTGACAATATTAGACTGTAATTATTAGCTCTGACATAAATTGACTCAATTAACTAACAAAAAAAAAAAAAAAAAAAAAAGAATTAAAGACATAAAAATGGAACTAACTAAAATAACCCTCTACATCTTTCATAAAATTCCTATGGTATGTATGTAGGAAGCACTTTCATGAAATTGATTTTGGATTCCAAAAGCAGTTTAAGTGCTCCTTGAAGAAGCACCAAATAAGGCCATCTCCAACCGAAGGGTCCAGAGGGCTAGAGGGCCGAAAATAGTCCGAAAATCGTCTCCAACAGAGGGCTCGTGGGCCCCACAGAATCTCAAAGGGCCAAAGGGCCATAGGGCTGACCTAATCCAGCCAGCCCTGTGCTGGCCAAAAATTCTAGCATTCCTGTCTGATATAACCGACAGGAATTCTAAGAAATTTAGCTAGCCGTTATTTTTTAATTTTGTTTTTTTTACAGTTTTATTTTTTTTTTACACTATTTTTTTCCTATAACTTCTATTTTACAAAATTTATTTTATATTTTTCTAAATTATTTTTTTCCTATAACTTCTATTTTACAAAATTTGAATTTAATTTAAGTTGTTGTTTTTAAATAATAAATTATGCAGTAGTTTTTTTACAGTACTTAGCCGTTGGATTTGAATTTGAATTTAAATTGTAGTTTTTAAATAATAAATTATTTTGGCCCTCGGTTGGAGACGATTTTTTGTGACAAGGCTAAAACGAGCCGTATGGCCCTTTGGCCCTCTGTTGGAGATGGAGGCAAATATGACCATGTACTGTTCATTAAAATATTAATATCTTGGAGGGCTAGAGGGCTAAAACGAGCCATCTGGCCAGCCTTCGGTTGGAGATGGCCTAAGTGCTTCTTACAGGAAGCACTTATAGTAGTGCTTTTGAACTTTTACTAAGAATTAGTTTCAAAAACATGTTCACCAAAACATTTTCAATTATTTTAAAGGCATTTCCAAACAAGTCCCCAAAGCCAATACAAAACATCCAAGACAAACAATCCAAAATATCAAAAGCAATGTCAGCCATGATATATATAGAATAGAAGTATTAATTATACAAACAAACCCACAAGCAACAAGGGCGCGGATTTTTTTAGTGCTATCATTGATTAAAACATCACACACTTATTTATGCATCAGTTTTCAGAGGGAGTCCAAGTCTCTCTCCTTGCCTAAGGATCATCACTAAGCAAACACTTTAGAACAAAAGAAGTTATAAGTGACCTTAATATATAACTTAGTGATGATTAATCATATCTCAGATCACGATCAAGCAAGGCGTAGATCGTGCAGATGAGTAATGGAGGAGCCGAGCGAACTTCCTCCGTGGTGGAGGTGGTCGGAGTTGCGGTGGAGGTGGAAAGTGTACAAGTTATTTGCCCCATTTGCCAATGCAAGTGCAGATTCGTAGTCTCCCTCATTGTCCTCATAACCATACTGTGGATCCTCACTGGCTGCTTCCTGGTCAAACTTTAAGTTTTCAAACACAGTATTAGATATCATTAAAAACATATAATAATTAAAGGAAATAATTAGAAACTGAATTGATATATATTAGGATGCTTGATTTCATATACTCTTACATAGCCATGCAGCATGTTTCCTCTTCTTTGCTCCAAGTTCTTAACCTGCAGTGGTGGGATTTTATTGAATTTCAAAAATAGTACTAGAAACTTACAAATATTAACTTTTGATCCAGTAAAAGTTTCTAAATTACCTTCTTCTTGGTGGTCTCCGTCTGAGTTTTGATCACATGGTACTGTAAAAATCCAACAAATAATTACATTGCCAAATCCGTCATCAACGTCAAGGAGCTCGAATTAAGTGATACACAAAATACAGGATTGGGAAGTACTATTTGTGCTAGATTTTTTAAGGATGTAGGGAGAAGCTTTCGGAAGTGAGATACACTATATGAAGTATCATTTAGGTTTTAAACTTGGGTTTTTTTTTTTGTTACATAACTGGCAAAAGCCCAAAGCAACTTTATTAGAAGGTTCCTCCAAATTTTATTAGAGATTTTTTTAAGTGTCGGCTATTCTAGCAGTGAATTCACATGTCATAATATAAGTGAAGAAAATGATATATTTTTTTGTGTCCTCTACTTGTATTATAATGCGTGAACTACCCGCTTGAATACTGTACACTTTGAAAATTTTCTCAAAGTGTAGGAGTCTACTTCTAGACCGAATGGCTAGAACTTCGATTGTAGCGTTTTTCTTACGATTAGTGTGAGCAATAGAACAGTACTAACTTCGATTCGGTAAGATCCTGTCACACATACAAATTAATAATGTTCTCATATTTTAATCGAAATCTCAAATTTCAAGGTGTTTTCATACTGAATGACTGATTATCAAGGCTTGTGTGTGAGGGATTACAAAATTCTACATGTCAAAAAAATTGTTTATTATATTCCTCAAAATAAATGTTTATTATGAGAAATTATTACCCTATATATCTACTCCGGAATTCTACAAAATTTGTTTATTATTAGGAAATCCATCAGGACTTAATAGTGTGGACTTAAGTTTTTCAGAATAAAAATTACAAAAAGGTTGGAATTACTGGAACCCTAATATCAGATTTTACAGATCTATATTCAGATACCTTTTGAACTTTATAATTATTTTTTGATACTGAAAGCAAAAAGTATATTAGAAACGAAAATCCAACCTTCCTTTGACGTATGGCATCCAAGGAAGACTGCATCTCATCGTCAAGAGAAGCCAGCTCGTCAAAGCGCAGGCCATTTAGATCATGGCCCAACCTCTGCCTGTTAATTTTATACATGAATGAATACTCTAATCCTGTAATATTCATATATATATATATATATATGTATATATATTCCTCTCAGAAACAAGTTGATTTTTTTTTCTTCTGGATTTCCGAATAGAATAGATGTAATTACCTGATCTCTCTCCTCAGCTTATTGTTGATCTCTTTCAACTTCCACAAGGTGTCTTTCATCGACTGCGCCCGCGGCCAAAGAACCAATTAATTAACCAGAAGCAAAAAACACTAAAAAACTTCCAAGATCTAAAAAAATAAACAAAGAAAAGTAGTGGAGAGAAGATATCCTTGATTATAATTAACCTCGTCGTGTGTCCTCCACAGATCGATCCCCATAGTTTTCTGATAGTCATCATACATACTCTTGGTCCTATTACATCAAAATTTAAGCAGAAATTGCCAAAAGAAAGGAGGAAATTAATTATAAAAAATAAAAGATAAATTAAAAAAATAATAATAATAGGGTTTGATGAGAGAAGGACGTACGTAGTGGTAGGGCTGATATACTCGTGCATTTTATTAGTGTTGGAGAGCATAATGAGGGAGACCTTCGCATCACAGAGAACGGTGAGCTCCTGAGCCTTCTTGAAGATCCCATTTCTTCTCTTGGAGTAGGTCACCTGCCTGTTGGTCTGGTTTTCGATCAGCTTGATTTCAATCTTCCCACGACCCATAATTTCTCTCTCTCAAATTTCTTACCTTTTCCTAGCAATTTTCCGATCTTGTTTTACTTGATATATCAAAAAAAAGGGAAGAGGGGGTTGCTTGTGTATATAATATTGGGAGTCATGTGTGGATGAAGAAATGGAGAGGAAAGCAGAAGGGTTTCTATATCGGGAAAGTGAGATGAAAAGTTGGGTTGTAGTCTAACCAGGAATGTCTGCTGCTTAAGGCTTGTTGCTAGCTAGCTAGCTAGAGCCTAGAGATTGCTAGTTGCTAGGTTAAATGTTTAACAGTAGTTCTGAATCTACTGATGATAGCGTCTGATGACTCTGATGTAGCTATAGTGCATAGGGTTTCGATTCTTTTGACCACGACAGTACAGGAACAGGAACGCAAACACACGAGTCCTATTCAGCGTGCTAGTTACTTGAGTTAACAGTTTCATAATATCATGCATGCTAGGGAGAGCTCAAATTTTGAATGTGTCTAGGACCAAACTGATTAGATTTATATGTACGCGCGGTAGTACAAAATCCTTTGCTTTTGCAAATTTTTTCAATTTTTGATACATATGCAAAATTATATTACCAGCAAGTAACACTGTATGTATGATAAA